TCTTTTCTCTTTCTCTTGACTAGAAAGAAGAAAAACATAGTTAATTCAAGATATACTGTTTTTGAATAAATGCATAAAACAAAGAAAGATGCAGCTAACAGCTATAATAGATATATTAATAATAATAAACTGATCAAATAAGAAAATTAAAAATAAATTGATTTAAAAATAATGAAAATATTATAATAATAACAGTATGAATCAGAAAGTATTATACAGATGCAGATATTCTTTATTGTCATTCGCACCACATGTGGTACATGTGGTGGATCAAAATTATGTCCACAGGGTCCCAGTTACATCCAACAATAAAATGTAAAAGAAAAACAGTAATAAGATCTAAGATATGAACTAAGAAAAACATCAACTAAAAATATGATAAGCTCTAATAGCATAAAAACATTAAACACAATACGCCGAACAGCAGCACAGACATGAGTCTGTGTGAACAGATGAGCACGAATGAACACAGCAACATGAAACAGATCAGCAGCAACATGAAACTGATCAGCAGCAACATGATGTGATTCTTCACCGTGTTATATATTCATAAGGCTGCACAAACTCTAGTTCATGTTGCTGTTTGACGTATTGTTTTGATTGTTTACTGCTATTAGTGATTAGTGTTTTATTAGTACATGTTTTTAGTTGATATTTTTCTTAATTCATATCTTAGATCTTATTACTGTTTTTCTTTTACGTTTTGTTGTCTGTAACTGGGACCCTGTGTACAAAGTACATAATTTCATCCCAATTCAGTATTTATTCAACATTTAATTTTTTTTACTTTAAAAGTAAAATAAAATCAAGTCCTTATCGGCACAAATAAAGTGATGTGGAACATGTTGCATCTGTTCTTACCGAGCACAGAAGCTGCAGCGTTGTGCTGCTCCATGAGGTGCAGCTGGGCTGTGATGGAGCTCTGTCAGGTGCAGACTCTGCTGATGGAGCAGGAGCAGAAGCCGGGAGGCTTGGAGGGTTTAATGTGGAGTTTAGAGACGAACCGTCACACACTGAAATATGTTCTGGATAAAATACAGTGAGAAACGGGACCGGAGGACAGTTAGAGTTTATGCAAATTAGCTTAGCATCGTAGCACCGATGTTGTCCTATTATGGCGTCAGCCTCTTTTGTTGGTTAAAAATATGTTCAGAACCGATGGGATGAGTCACTTAAAATATGTTTAAAGTTAGAAAACACTCACCATCTTCTATTAATGATTCAAGTAGAGCAGTGGCCGTGTCCAAACCACCCTCCAATCCTCCATCTAGCTCGCTTTGAATTTTTTCGTCGGCCACCAAGCACAACAACACCTGCACTTCTGCATTTGACCACGGCTTTGACATTATTGTTTTTGTATAGCTTCAAAATACTAAAAGATACGCTCCTCGAGTTATCGCTAATGGCAAGCGGTAGAGAAAAAATGGCGGATCAGGTTGTTTGGAAAGACTCCACAGACTCCTCCCCCTGACCAATCAGTGACTAACAGTGTTTCTGACGTCACGGCGCGGCTCGCTTGGACCCCTTGAGAAGCTGGGCCAGAATTCTGGGAGGCGAGCCAGTTCCAGGAACAGTGGAAAGACCTCAAACGCGCGTCAAGCCGGAAATATCCGACCCGCGCCGTGACAGTGGAAAAGGGGCAAAAGACTCACGGTCGACTCTAATTCTGACTGAGCGCTCTCTTTCTTTAATACTCTTCCCCTTTCCACATCGTGTGAGAGCATCTCCCGGTGAACAAAACATGTCCACCTGGACTAAAAACTGTGAGAAACCTCGAGATAGCGTGAAAAACTGTGAGAAACTTCAAAATAGGGTGAGAAACCTCGAGATAGCTTGCGGGCGGGCCGAGCCTCCTCCTCAGGCCTCTCGGGTGACTGACCATAACATGTACCAAAAACTCTTTATATCACAGGTTAAATAGTCAGAAAAACAACATTTTATTATACTCTCAACTCACACACACACATATATATATATATATACATCCAAACGGGATTCCAAAGAAGTTGGGATACTAAACAAATTGTGAATAAAAACTGAATGCAATGATGTGGAGGTGCCAACATCTAATATTTTATTCAGAATAGAACACAAATCACAGATCAAAAGTTTAAACTGAGAGAATGTATCATTTTAAGAGAAAAATCAGTTATTTCCAAATTTCATGGCGTCAACAAATCCCCCCAAAAATTGGACAAGTCCATTTTTACCACTGTGTGGCATCCCCCCTTCTTCTCACAACCCTCAACAGACGTCTGGGGACAGAGGAGACCAGTTTCTCAAGTTTAGAAATAGGAATGCTCTCCCATTCATGTCTAATACAAGCCTCTAACTGTTCAATCGTCTTGGGCCTTCTTTGTCGCACCTTCCTCTTTATGATGCGCCAAATGTTCTCTATAGGTGAAAGATCTGGACTGCAGGCTGGCCATTTCAGTACCCGGATCCTTCTCCTACGTAGCCATGATGTTGTGATTGCTGCAGAATGTGGTCTGGCATTATC